TTCGTCAGTGCATGTACTGTGTCACAATACAGAATGTACCCTGTGCTGTGCGACTAAAGAACAGACCATGTAAAGTCATTAGATTAACAAAATATCGCGAATTACCGTCATTTTGGCTCCTTGACGATTATTCAAAACTTTAGCCTCTTTTGCTGATTTTTGCAATAGGGAATTGGCATAATTTTTGAAAAATATTGGATTTCATAATTTACATATATATTTTTAAATGCAATTTATAAATAATTTTTTTAACACAAATTGTGCAAAAAAAAATAAATAATAAAGGATTGCATTATTTAAAATGCCGAAGACGGTCTAGATACGACCGAGTCTTCTCAAACGTGCTGTGACATCACAACAACGAAACCACAATTATTTAGTAACAAATTAATTTATTTTAAAAATGAACAATGGAAATACATACAGAACGTGTTTTATACGTTTGTTGTGTAAAAGTATAACAACTAAAACATCAGAAAAATTGTTCTTTTATGTGCCTTAAGCTGAAAATGTGAGAAAAAAATGGTTTAAAAGCACATCATATTAAAATCAGGAAAATTATTTTTGTTGTAAAGATCATTTCGATGTACATATTATATAAAACATGTTTTTTATGTTCTTTAATTATAACAATTATAAAAATATAATATTAATCATGTTCATGTAAAAATATCTAACAAAACCTAAAATGTAAGCTAAAACATTGAATGTCAAATAATACATAATACATAATAAATAATACATAAAGGTATTTTGGGAATTTGTAAAATTATTCTACATCTGAAATTATTTTAAAATTATATTTCATAATTTAAAAAAAATCATATTTTCAATGTGTAAATGCCATATTTTAAATGTTTGTAATCTTAAATTAATAGAATTTGTTTTCGAAATAATTCGCTTTTTTCATTTTCAAACATTTTTTCTTTTGCAAATGTTATATGAAATTATCGATTGGCAATGAATATTTTTTAGTACAAAAGTTAAACATTAACTGATAAGTTGATAATGTATAAACTGTTCTTTTTTACTGATATTGTATAAACTGCTCTTCTTTATGTCTAATAGTGTATGTTTCGATTGATTATCTAATTGTTTTGCTTTGGCTTGTTTGATTACTTTATAAAATTAGAGTTGTCATCTAAATTTTCAGTCGTAGATTCAAAATTGTCATCTCATTAATTGTAATAAATTTTTTTGAAGTTGCAACATTAGACAAGGCTGATTTTCTCCAATAATATTCAACTCAGTTGTGGAGATTCAGATTCATATGATCTATTAATCCACATTAAGAATGTTATATCATACTTACATTTTCCTATAATTGAATTCATTTATAGAAACTTAATTATTTATAACAATATATTTATATTATTACAAATATGTATTACTATATATATATAAAAATATCTTGGATTTATTTTTACTTTGTATTTTTAAAGTCGCAAATGACTTCTTTAAGATATTTAAACGATTGTTTATTGAATTATTACTTTAATGAAATAAAAATTTAGTTATTTTTTAAACTATTGCTCGCAAATATTTTAACCTTCTGTTGCTGCACTTTCAGACATTCGCGTTGAACAATTTCTTTTTCTTCGCCGACAATACAGATTACAGTATAATCTTTTTGTTGAACTCTGTATTCAGGGTAAATTTTTCCTTTTACTGTATAAATAGGACCTTCCCATTTGACGCTAACATAACTTATAAGTTATACTCCGCTATAGCGGAATCAGTATACTTTTCTCTTGATGATCTATAATATATTAATTATATAATATTTATTTATGCTACTTAGAATAAAATTGAAAAAAAATTACCACTGTAATAATAAAAATATACTTATAAAGTTGGTTTTACTCCTCGAACTTCTGGAGCATCATATTCCAAACCATAAATACAGTTATTTGTGGTAAATTCGTTAAATCGACTTTAATGAATCCAGTTAGTTTGATATTTTATTTTAATATTCTTAATTTATGAAGAGATTTTTAAGAAGAGAATTTTAAGATTTCGCTTTAACCTTCCAATGTAAGCAGACGATTACAGATGATTTATTGAAGTGTAATGCCATGAACTTGTTAGCCAATTAAAATTGTTTTCTCAAATTTCAAATATTATTAAACTTTATTTTAGTTTTTTAATACCTATCTATTGCTAAAATTGCAAATTTTATTATACATAAATTTATAATATATTTCCATAATAAATAAACAAAAATGTATTATTTTTTTTCATGGAAACTTCCTATTTTCAACATAGCAACCGGGCATTTTCGATAATAACAAGTTCTCTCTTAAATCAAGTTCTTCTTCTTTCAGAACCTTGTATGAATTTCCGACCTTTTAACAGAATCAGATTAGCACTTCGACACCATTTTGGTTCCAAATGCTAATTCAATGAATTTTCTCATCGCGGTACTTTGTTAATCTAGACTTTAGGACCTTGGATACCAGCCCTAGTCAGCCCTGGAATCCTTAGGGTGCGATTGTATGGAGCGCGGTATAGTAATTAACTAGGCAACTAAAAGCGTTTTCGGCCCGACCGGGTTTGCACCAATTTGGATTAGAAAAAGAGATGTTTCGCTATTGGTTGATGTTACACGCCTCTACCAATAGGAGAGCACGAAACATCATTACTTCATCCAGATTAGTACAATTAGTACTCGGTCGGGCCGAAAACATTATAAGTAATCACATCTATTTCTTTCGCTGATATTACATGGAGTGCGATTTACGCGCACATTTGCGGCACAGGCTAATAATAAACTCACATTACTGTACACTGCTATGCACTTTTTAATGGAATTAATTGATTTAAACGCAATTATTAAGTAAATCTATTTAAAAAGTAAGAGTATCGATAAAGTGTGCATAAAAATAAGTTACTATATTTAAAAAAATTCATACTAAAGAACAGAGAATAAGAATTTCAGAAACCTATCAGAAATCATATATTGTGGAATACACAATTTCTGATAGGTTGAAATTCTTATTCTCTGTTCTTTGTTTCCTGTTCCTTTTATTGTGCGGAGTCTCTAAGATGTGTTCCGAATCCGTTGGCTGTCATAACTCGTAACCAATAGAAGTCAGAGGCTCTATTCTTAAAAAGTATTGTATACGAAAAACTATATATAATGGAAACTATAGGGAAATATTATGGTGTATGTAACATATACTATAAATTGTGTTTTTTAAATTTTACCAGAGAGAAATCTGAGAGGAGACATAACGGCCCAAATGTAATCACAAAATGCTGCCGTGTACTACTGCTCTCTGACAAAGTGGAGGTAAAAAATTACATAGCAATGTTTTTCTTAGGGTACATCGTTTATTTTTCAAGGCTGGACAAAATAAATTGATATTTAGTTCATATAATCATGCTATATGTAGTTTATATCCATTTTGTCAGAGCAATAGTTCGCGGCTACGTTGTGGCTGTTGTGCCCAATGTGACGCCGAGCGTGTCTGGGCGCCGGCGATGACTAAGGACAATTGGCGAGAAATCGTTAAGTTTGCAAAAAAATGTTATTCATTCTAACTCATATGCCATAAAGTGGTTTAATATAAATTCAAATAAATATTTAGAACGTACATTAAGATTAAAAGAGTAATAGTCTAAACGAATAGGAGTGATTGCGTGCGTATGACAGCTCAGATATCGGTATCGCATTACTAGGTTAAAATACAAGAAACTCAAAATATAATATAAGCATTTATCTGATGACGCAAGCAATTACCTAATGACATGAGCAGTAACCGATGTCGCAGTGAACATTAAAGGATGATTAATCTTACCGAACACTAACTAAAATCTATCGCTGAGGCAAAAGATCCGCTTGCAGAACGCCATGACACTAAAGAGAGAGAGAGAGAGAGAGAGAGAGAGAGAGAGAGAGAGAGAGAGAGAGAGAGAGAGAGAG